AAATGATCAGTCCACATCTGAGAGAACGCATCAACAGCGCTTGATCCTGCACACCAGTACTTAGAATTAAAATTCTCACACTTACTGTTATGGAGATCTGCGAATCTATCGCATGTATGTGGTCCCCAGATATTGTCAAAATAATCAAATACACATTGTTTAACTGACCAGTCATCACAGTCTGTCATTCTACTCAAAGAGTCTGCTTTTACGTTTTCTGACCTAGGTATCCATTTACCTGTTATCTGAATATCCTTATTATTGCATAAACTATGCACTGACATTGCAATGTCTTGTAACTTTTTCTTCTTGCTCCCTACTTTCAATATATGTTGCACATTTTGATTATCAGAATTGATCTCAACAGATTTGCCTTCAACTTTATCAACAGATTTTGACAAGATTCTATTTACTGTCTCAAGTTCTCTCCAAGTAGAACTTCGCTTACTTTCCCATTCGTTCCAAACTCCATACCACTCAAATTCAGTTTGTTCACCCTCTGAACGTTTAGTCAATTGACCTCCAAAACCCGTGTCAGATGCATCACAATAAATTGTCACTTTATTTACATCAGACTCTGTCAACTGACTTAACAACGTACCACTGTTTTTCAACAGATGTCAACCAAAATTTTAGTTCACCTACCGCTTCTGCAGACAGCCTTACTCTCGAATTCCAACTGGAACGCGTCAGAATGCAAAAGTATAAATACCTTGTTTGTAATCTAACATCATGACCCAATACTGTATGCATTGAAATTATTTGTCCAACCACAGATGCGATATTCTAAACATCGAACAAAATAAAACCAGAATCATAACCTTTCAAAATATTTGCAATACAAACCTTGAGTTTGTTGACCCTAGGTGAGGTCACCATTATTTTGTTGTTTATTGTATTCCATACAAACCCCAACCATACTAATTCTTGTACTGGCTCCCAGTGACTCTTGTCTGCTGCAACAAGAAACCCTAATCTGTCTAAATCTTTCTGAATTTCTAAACTCACTAATTCTGCTTCGTGTAATGTTGAGGCACCGCCCATCCCATCATCTAAATACATGACAATCCTGTAACCTTTTGACCTCCAAAGCTTCACCACCTCTCTCATAACTTTCGAAAATATGTATCCTGCTGTACTAAGGCCAAATGGCAGAACTTTAAAAACATAATACTTACTTTTCCATTTAAAACCTAAGTATTCTTCATCTAGTTCATGCATCCTAATGTGATGATATGCACTTTTTAAATCAAATGAAAAACTGAAATCACCTGATTCAAATAAGCTTTTTGAAACAGAGGCATTTTCGTATTTGTGCTTATATTTGAATAAATGAGGATTGATATGTCGTGCATCTTATACCAACCTTTGTTTTGTTTTGTTACCCGCTACCGTCAATGGATTTATAACCCTTGGTTTATTGAAATACTCCACTGTTCAACCTTTATTGAGTAACTTTTCAATTTCTTTATCTACAAACTCACTGTTTTCTAACGCAGATCGATTGTTCTTAAGTTCTATGGGTTCTGGTGTGGTAAACAATGGCATTTCATAACCATTCTCAATAACGTCCAAAATATACCTGTTTGCATCAATCAAAACGCCACTGACCTATATTCTCCCGTAAATGACCTACAGGTGAAATATTTACACCGCATGATTGCTTTTGTATTGTATTGTCATAATACTCACCGTCATTTTTCTGCTTAATCAAATGATTATCTTGATAAACAAATGTACTTATCTTATTATCATCTATTTTTTCTTTACAGTCCTTTCTCCAATGACCTCTCTTGTTACAGCGATAGCAATGCCCAGGCTTCCATGTAGATTCATTAGGTGTTGTCTTTGTCGACACTGGCTTTGGGTAGGGCCTGGTAAAATCCCTCAGATCTTTTCGTCTCTTTGCCTTTTCTTCTTTTACTTTCCTCTCAGCCCGAGTCTGTGCTTTGGTAATTCTCTTCTCGTCATCGGAATCTGATGCGATAGGGTTTTTAACGTACTCGTCAACCGCCCTCCATCCCGCCTCTGAAGAATCTGCAAGTTTAATTAATTTTTGTCTGTGTTTTATAATATCCACACCTTCTGCTATTTTACGTTGAGCGTCTTCAATTTTTCGTTCTTCCAAATGTTCACTGGCCTCCTGCATTTTAGATAGGACTTTTACGTTGTGTTTGTGCTGCTCTTCGTTGCCACGTTTTTTTGAATTTATAGCCGTCGGCCACGACTTGTTCAATTCTAGCCTCCTGTCTATCAGCAATAGCTTTTTGGTTCTCATTTATTGTTTTCTGCATCTCTGTAAGCCTATTGTCGAGAAGCTCCGAGAAACTGCTCAGCATTTCATTATTCGAAGCGCGTACAGTATCATTGATTTGTCTTTGAATTGCTTGGGCGTCCATTTTTGTCTAACTCGTGCCACACGGCGGCTAGAAGTGAATACCAGAAGCCTGTTCAACAGAGCGAACGTCCGCGAGCGCTCGTCTAAATTCCTTATCCTTTCAACAGAAATGTTGGCGAGCGCTCGCGAACGTTCGCGCTGTTGAACAGGCCTCTGAATTACCTTTCGAAAACCTGTTCTTTACACTCAATAAGTATTGGTTAATAATGGAACCTTCCATTATAATGCACTGTGCCGTCAATACAATATTTTCCCGCTATTACCGGCGAACCGCGGGAAAATATAATAGTTAGCACAAAACATGCTGCCTTACAAAACACGTGACGGAATTTAGTATTCACAAAGTTACCTGAGGTAAGAAATCACGTGATGAATTATAATATTCAACATGTCACAATCCTTGGTTACAACAGGGAGAGCGAATGTAAGAAGAAGCAGTTTTTTCTCTTTTTAACCATGAGCGCATGTTTGTCTATTAATCTCCTTTTGACACATTATTATTTATGCAAATATACAACTACTGTTAAACGTAGAACAATAGACAAACATGCGCTGACTATGTATAAAGTCAGTAAAAAAGTGGGCGTCCTCATTATCGAACGGAGATTCAATAAATTGTGATGACCCCTGCCTTTGAAAACAGATTCGAACTTCGTAAATTCACACTTTTATTAAACGTAATTACATAAAGTTGTAGATTGAATGTTGACCATTCTAGCAATGAAAAGAAAAATGCTTGTTTTGAAAGTTTATTTTGTCGCAAATTCCGCATGTCCTTAAGTGCAGTCATCCTTTCAATTAAATACCTCATGCAGTATAAATTCATCTAAGAAATCATATTAAAATACATGTATTTACTTTATTTATTTTTCGCAATAATACATATAATCATGTAACTTGTAAGCTAGTAAACACATTCCAAGAGGCGTATACAGGATTTCAAGATTTCGGGGGGGGGGGGGGATTAATGACAACATAAACTCAAAATACTTATAGTAAAAATGAATATATAAGAGCAAAGGTTTTCTCAAGATTCAGGTTTTCTCTATTGAATATCAAGAACATGAAAGTTTTCTAAATTTTTTCTTTCTTTCATCCTCTTACTTTTTTCTTCTTTTTTGGGGGGTGGGACACCTCTTTCACACATATATCTGCTACTGTCCTTTAGACTGCTTAAAATTACCAATTTTTTTAAATAGACAAACTTTATACTTTTATTTATAACATTAAGTTCAAGGATCTGCTAAACTTTTATCAAAAGAATTAATACAAATGCATTTTGAAGCATCCTATAAAGATTTTCGCATTACACATACATATTTTAAGACACAATGTTAAATTTCCGTGAAATGATGAATGTGAACAACAATCAAAATGTCTTTATCCACTTGAACATTTAAAATGCGGCCAAAACGACCTGTTTAGCCGAGAAAAGGCACAGACTGCAATATTCCACCTGATATGATGTAATTTCTTACACACGTTCTGTTACATGCGTTTTGGACGATTTTGGTATGACGATCCCTATGTTTAACCCATTTTTAAAGCACCATATAGTGAAGTATCATTATACAATGTCAAAGTATCAGCATATAATTTTGAAGTATCAACATATAATGTCAAAGTATCAGCATATAATGTTGAAGTATCAGCATATAATGACAAAGTATCAGCATATAATGTCAAAGTATCAGCATATAATGACAAAGTATCAGCATATAATGTTAAAGTATCAGCATATAATGATGAAGTATCATAATATAATGTTAAAGTATCAGCATATAATGAATGTTCTCCACATAAGGCAGCTGAGGCGTTCCATAGTAAATTCCTTCTGTTACTATCATGTAGGTAAAAGTGTACACTTCGTTTACTATAATAGGCAATTTTCGTCCCTTATAATTAACAAATTCGTTATACAGATACCGGTATAACGAATTACAGATATAGCGAAGTAAATTCACAGGTCCCCAGGACTTCGCTATAACCGAGTTTTTAATGTACATTGTAGTTATGGATTTTTTTTCACCTGCACCCGACTTCCACTAAGGTGAACATAATTATTTAGATACGCAGTATTGGAGGAGGCGGAACAGAGAGCCTCCACCTCCCAACTTTTTTCCTGAGTGTAAATGTTACTATAAATTATGAAAATGTTCATTGGGAAGCTGGTTGCCAAGCCCCCCTCCCATTTTTTTATCCTTATAATGAAGTACCCCCTAGGTTAATGGACCCTAACCCCCTACCCCACCTCTCAAGCAGTTCTGTCTCTCATAGAATGGGCAATTTTCGGATTGCCTTTCTCCTTTAAAGAAATATATCTCTTATACCCTGCACCCATTTTTTAAAGCTAGATACAACTTTTCCAATGTGTTTGTCAAAGGAAATATTGTTTATATGAATTTGCTACATGAGGTTTTCTTTAATTTAAAAAAAAATGACTTGGGTTTCCTTATCTTACACTATGCTTTTCAATTCGTCATGATTCATAACCAATATTGAGGTCATATATATCGTTCATCCGGAGGAAAAAAAAAACTAACAGCAGCAATGATTCTAAATGCGTAATATAAAGATATATGTATGTTATTAAAATTGCTACCTGGTTTCCAGATCGGCTTCTGTTCCTCCAAAAACTCCTCCACTTTGGTTTGGTTTGTTTTCAGAAGCCGAATATCAATGGTCCCGTTTGTAATGGATAAACCAGCCTTGAAATATAGTCTACAGTCAAACATCGTTATCTTGAATTCGACGGGACCAAGATTAAGCTCTGAGATATCCGAGGATTCGTGATACATGTAATAAGGGTAAACAATCAAATTAAAAATTCGACATATACCTAGTATTCAAGATATGGGATATCATGTAATACAAGTTTCACTTGTTTGAATATCGAACTTCAAACAAAATAATCTACATGTAGTAAACTTTGAAAAAATATAATATGGCTACTGCGTAATTGTAAGAGGAGCTCTGGAATTATGGATATTTTTTAAGGGAAAAACATCTTTTTGAATGCCAGGATCAAAATGAAAATTACGAATAAAATATTGCACACCATATAGAACACCACTAATCATATTCTAAAAGATAACCTTGCTACGCGTAAAATGTAAGAGTTCTTGGAATCAGGTATTTCTTGGAAAACTCGTTTATCGTTTATCGACCCCAAATTGCCACCCAGGATGAAATGAAACACAAGGATTTTAATCATTTGATATCTTTTCAAAGCCCCAGGTAATGTTTCATGGCTCTTTTTGTTTTGTCTAAGAAACATTTGATGGCGCGTTGATTTTAAGTTTAGAAGATCTTGAAAAATAACAATAGGCACATATGTTGTAAGGTATGTTGCGTATTACCTTAACATATCTATTATCGAAAGACGCGAAAAAGACAAAAATATGCAATCTAATTAAAATTAGATGTTCCGAATCCGCTACCGCTTCTCAAACGGTAGCGGATTCGGAACATCTAATTTTAATTAGATTGAAAAATATGTGGAAATGTTTTGACGACCACAGATTTTTTTTACTGTAAAATCAAGTCTATGACTATATTGAGCTTTATGAATTCCATAGTCAATTTAAACAAATTATGTACAGTCTCCCCTTCTATTTTTATGCCGTAATCGAAGATTCGGGGGTATATAGTTTTTTGCCCTGTCCGCCTGTCTGTCTGTCTGTTTGACTCTTTATCTGTTTGTTAGCAAAATCTTTAACATTGCCCATAACTTTTGATCGGTTGGAGCTATGGCTTTTATATTTTCACAAGTGTATTCCTTGTGACAAGACCTTCCTTTGGGTACCGACATATTTCACATCTTGACCTTGGACTTTGACCTACTTTTGCAAAAAAATTACCCAACTTTAACCTTGGCCATAACTTTTGAACAGTTAGTGCTAGGGCTTTCATATTTTACATATATATTCATCGTGACAAAACCTTTCCATGGGTATAAATATTTTTGACCTTTTGACTTTGACTTTATAGCTTAACCCACTTTTAAAAAACTTTAACCTTGGCCATATCTTTTAAACAGTTAGTACAAGGGCTTTCAAATTTCACAGGTATATTCCTTGTGACAAGACCTTCCTCTGAATACCAACAATTTTACCTTGACCTTGGAGTTTGACCTACTTTTGAAAAACTTTAACCTTGCCATAACTTTTGAACAGTTGGTGCTAGGACTTCTATATTTTGCATTTGTATTTCTTATTATAAGGTCTTCCCCTGCGTACCATTAATTTTGACCCGTTGACCTTGACCTGGGAGTTTTTCCCACTTTTAGACATTATCTTTGACCATTAATTTTGAATGGTTGGTGCTTGGGCTTTCATATTTACCAGGTATATCCAATGACTTGCATTTGAGATACTTTAACCTTCACCATAAGCTGCCATACAAATATGGCCATTATTTCCCTTTATAACATTTTTTGTTCAAAATGATTTTTCTGCTCTACATTATATATATATCTATGCACATTTAATGATTTTCAAATTTAAAAGCTAAGGGGCAGATATGTGCTTTTATCTTCGTTCTTTTATCTATTTGAATAAAAGTCAGTGAACAATTAAAACATAAAGACAAAACGTAAAGCTAATCTTTATCGTTACCTTTAAATTTAATTTAAACACACGTTGATTTTTTAGATACAATTCATTTTGATCAACTATACATATTCGAATAACTGGACTCTGTTACTATTTTGATGATAATTTAAAAATGTAGAATGCGAATAATTACTGACAGTATGAATTATTTTGCATTGATTTCCCTGAAAATGAACATTCTTATTCAACCTTTCTCCCACTCTTAACTGATAGAAAATATCATTCGGTTAATCACATAGCATGTATGTTGTTTTCTTCCTAGAAATGAATAACACGGTACCTGGTGGCTCAACAACATTTCTACAGTTATATTCTCCTTGCCGTTTTTCCCAAATTCTGGCCAGTAACAGGATACACGCTTCTTGTAGTCCAGGTAGCCCCTGAAGAAGAAACAAAATGCATAAGGGCCTTAACTGTCACCTGAGTATAATGTAACAATTTTGAGGATCCATAGAGTATGAAATAAACTGATAGATTAAGTTTGTTGCCCAAAAGCAAGAGAAATAGGATGATCAGGATCAACGAAATAATTAGTCTAGTATTCAGTAACAACTCATAAAGTAAGTTCCAATCTGTTCCCCATTTATCACTATTACCACGCAGACTATTAACAAAATATTAGTGCTTCAGTACTATTTTAACCCATATTACAACCTCTCACATTGGCCTCTCTTGGTCTTTGAAGAACGTTTAATAAGATAAATCATTTTTGTCTCATTTTTTAATTCTATTATTAAATTTTACAAATCTACCTGATCTTTAAGTACTTTTTGTATTATACAATAAAAATTCTTGCATTATTCTCTTATTCTATTGACCTTTCAAATACATTTATTTATTTACAATGATTAAGAGCCATTCTCTGTAATGACTTTAACGTTTATATAGGAGCTGTGGCACGCATAGTCTCAGAATTTCTCCAAACTCTCTGTGATAAAAGTCTTTGATACTGTACACTCAAATCAGGCAAAAATTGGTTGCTACGTGTCATGATTACCATAGCAACATGTCCTAAAGTTTGAAAAATGACATTTTTTAACATGTTCAGAGTCCCACAGTTAACGTTTGCAGCAAAGCAAACAAGCGGCAATGACTGTTTCTGAAAGTTGAAGGCCTTATGTCTTAAATGCATGATAAACATGTTTGGTAAATCAGCTATTACATACGTTACTATGGAAACAAAGTATTCAAAAGTAATAATTTTGTTCATTTAAATTTATAAAGTCATACACTTAAGAATAAAAACAATTATAGGTTGAAATGCAAGCAAATAATAGACAAGAGATAATTTTTACATATACCAAGGACAAAATATGATATTTCTTATAGGTTGGCAATGGTTGCCATGGTTTTAATACCACAAAGTTATTTTAAATTTACTTTCTTAGTGTTTTAATCTTATCCTGTCTTTTTAAAAGCATATTTCTTTATAACTGCTGATCAATTTTTAAAGGCGCTAGTGTGACCCTAGTTTTCACATTTCAAAAAATTAAAATTCAATTCTTTAAATAGAGCGTTGCTATGGAAATTAGCTGAAAAAATATGCATAAAAATTTGAAAAAATATTTTGTTTCCTTGGATACGTACCCTTGTATGCAGATTCCCAAAACTTTTATGATTGATATATATGAACAACTAACCTGACTTTCAATTTTGACTACCAACCAATCTCTAACTGGATGCAGAAAGCTGGCACAGAGGATTTAATATTGATATAAAATTAACAAAATCGTACATTTTCCCTTCTTGGTAACCATAGCAACAGTGTTGTATTTTTCAACAAACTTTATCAATATATGATATTCAACTTTAGTTCTACCAGATAAGTACTATTCAAGGTGAGTCAAATAATATGTTTCTTGATTAAAAGCTAAGTAAATTCCTAAAGCAGCAAAAAAATATCACTTTAAACAACTGGTAGGTTGTTTCCATGGTTACACTGCAAAGTAACAACTAACAATTAATCCCAATATTTCTTATATTGTTGGTGTTGCAAGGTCCTAAGGATGTATATGTGCCAGTCATGGATTTTATTGTTTTTCCTCAAGATAGTAGCATTAACCCAATCTTAGCAACATATTTTGCATTGTTACACTGTGCTACCATGACAACCATGAAAGTTATTTTTAGAATAATATTACCAATACCTAATTACTTAAGGTCAAATATTTTTATTGTTTTTCTTTGGTTGTTGATTGAGTTTGATCAATTTTTAAAGGCGCTAGTGTGACCCTAGTTTTCGGGTTTGGGGTATTGTGGATGTTTTTTAAACGGCCTGATGCGATAAATTCTCTCTATATACTTTACTTACAATATATATCTTGCCTCGTTCAACTCCAATGCATTTACTTGAAGAAAAAAGACGTTTTTACACCTCCAAGTGCCTAAGAATTTTGCTAGACTGCTCTATTTCCGGTCACAATCACAAGCAAATTTAAAGCTTAATTCTGGTTGGACTTCATAAATGTGAGAAATAATTCTTCAAATACAAAAATGCAATTTGAAAAAATTTGTTGATTGAGCCATAGATGCTGGTTTACGGAGTCGATAAATTTTCTTTGGATGATGTTATACTTTTGATTTTAATTTTCTACAGTTTGACTGGCCAATAAGAATTTATTGAATTTCTCATCTGGTTTCATAGCATTTAATATTTCTTGCTGTAGATATGATATCAAATCTTAAGTGAGAGAATATTATCATTGATGTACTTTTCAATCTCAAAGAAGGGAAGTCTGTAAAATTTTTCTCCGATTTACTTGACAAGTTCTCAGTACAAAATCAATCATAACTTCGGTAATATGCTCACTTTTCAATAAATGATAATTTAAATTTACATGAATAAATGAAAACTTTTAATGAAGCGAATGTCTGGAAAAAAAAATCATTGTAAAACCATTTCACACTAATTAATCTCATATTTCACCGTCTAAACACTATTAAAGTAGATACAAGTTGGAGGTAGTCGTGGCTGATCCGGATCGATGGGAGCTATCACTCTTTTTGAAATTTTCATAACCAAAGGATTAATTTTATAACAATATTTGTTCTCAGATAATAATTCTTGACAATAAAATTGAAAACTGGTTTTCATTTCTCATTCCTTCTTATAAAGGGCTTGGTGAAAATGTGGAGGATGAAGGCTCCAAAATGGAGTGTCACAGAGTGCTTGCACTCATGTCAATTTTAACACAATTAAGTGACTAATTTAATTGTCGTTCAAAGGCTTCAACTTATTAAATCTGCCGAATAGCAGAGCGGAACATAACTCTTACTCAAGTTTAGATGTTTCCGTTGCACTCAGCATCTGTTATTTAACAAAATTAAAATCAAAAGCATAAGCTGTATACCCCTTTTTGTTTTTGATATCTAAAGGTTATTTTTGGCTGAATCTTATTTTGTTGTTACATTCTGTGGGAGAAAATGACAACAGTGCACTAAAGGATAACATATTCAATATATATAAAGGTCAACATATTCCCAAACAAAAACCCGATGATGTGATAACAGGTCCAATTAAAATGTGTCTGCAACCAAGAGAAGTATATAGATCAAGAGTCCTACATTCCAGATGTGGGGCTTCAAATCTGGCAGGTCACTCACTGGCAATGGCAATGGCAAGGAGTGACACTGGGGTTTTCTTTTTTTAATTTTATTTTAATTTTTTTAAAAAGAGTTCTGTTTAACAAGATATGAAAGGCATGCATCATGCACTTATGTGTCTTATTGTTGTTTCACAAGATACATTATAAAATAAATAAAGTTCATGTATTAGTAGTTTTATCATTGACTCTACTCCATGACTCCATCACTTCAAGAAAAACCAAAATTCCCACTTAACAAGATATGAAAGGCATGCATCATGCACTTAGGTGTCTTATTGCTGTTTCACAACGTGATCGTTGAAATCAAAACCAAAATCCCCACTTAATTTTTTGGGTATGTGTAAAACACGAAACGAGAAACGAGAAATGAGAATCAAGAAACAATAGAATAAAAAAAACAATGACCTAAAAATGTCAACCAAGGGGCAGCTTTTGCCTTGATTTTATTTTGTTAGAAAACAAGTGCTGAGTGAAATAAAACATATAACTTAGGACAGATTTTAATTTATCAGTGATCCGGCACTGCTAACCCATAAAGTCATGACAGATTTAAATTAAATATCAACAGCTTAATAAAAGTACACAATTAACTGGTAAGAGACAGGGGTCCGTTTTACAAAAGAACTTACGACTAAGACCAGAAACTTCAGTTGATTGTAAATTTTTGCAAAATTAATTATTCTGTTTAAAATTGCTAGCGTAAAAGGTATCTTTCTACATACCTTTTAAATATATTGAAACCATTTTCTATTTAATGTAAATTAGAAAGTTATTAGCAGAATTAAATTTTGGTCTTAGTCGTAAGTTCTTTTGTAAAACGGGCCCCTGATTCCTTCAAATTATTTTCTGATTTTTACATAATCAAAGTATAAACAAAAAGTTAAATAATATATTTATAAATAATTATTTATAGATAATATATTTATATTTTTGTTACATATGTTGTAAAGAAAGCTATTATATAAACATTGACAATAAATTTCACCAATAACATTACCAGAACTACTAAATCACAAAGAACAAAACATGAATAATGTCTCTTTTAATCCTTTTTATTCAAAGTATTAGAAGATTAATTGATTAGTCCCAATTTTTCTTTTAATAATTTGTTTATGATCAGTTTGTAATAATGATTTTATAGTTCACATGATAATGAACGAATTCCCTCTTCAAAGACATTTTTAACTGACATATTCATTAACATAGTTTCTGAATTATAAGCAAAAATTGTATCATTTGATGACAACATTATTATTATTTTAAGCAAAAACTGGGTAAGCATTTCTTTCAGGTAATAGTATTGTATTAATTAAATCTGTCAACATTTTATTTTTTTGTGTATGTGAGATAGTTGTGCGGGTCGATGATAAATCTGACCTAAGTTAGATATTTCATTTCACTCCCCATCTAGCTGTTATCTTAAAACAATGAAATCAAAAGCACAAGCTGTCCCCCTTTGTTGACATTTTAAGATCATTTTGTGTTTTATGCTGAATCTGACATTCCATTGTTTCTTGTTTCTCGTTTCGTGTTTTACACATACCCCTTATGCAGAGAAGACAAAAATACATGTACATCTGTTTGCCAAGTATTTTTCTCTATTGAAAAAAATGGACACATGCAAAGTTAGAGATTATTTCACTTTAAGAGTAAGGTAGAGGTGAGAAAAAATGGCAATTTCTTCTTTATTTCACCTTTGTACGAAGAGCGCCACAATGACCGCGGTGACTCCTTTAGTTGTAGAGAACATTATGGACAAGGTGTCATTTTGCCAGGGCCGTCCAGCCTCAATGTCCGAGTATCCGCCCCACAGATCCACCACTAACTCACCCTTATAGTAGGCAGAAAAACAGGCCCCCTTTTCTTTATTTGTCTCGATGTTCTTCCTGGAAGGGAAGAAGTATTCTGCTGTCAGACTGTATTAGAGCGTTTTCTGTTCACTTTGACTTTTAAACATTTTTTTTTTGCAAATTATAAATCTTACAGTCTTAAATTAGTTAATCTAAAACATCTTACGTTACAGGTCTAGCTAGCAATTAAAAGAGGGTTAAACCCTGACGTTCTCATGCATCCGCGAAATAAAAGCCCTTTTCCCAATAATCTGTGTAAATTGAAATAAATTGGGTAAGGCGAATCTTTTGAAACATTATCTTTTAATTGTTCTTTTGTTTCTGTTTTGCATCAAACTATTTTATACCGCCATTCAAAATGTAAATAAATAGCAGTTCTTCAATTCAAACAATCCTATTTCGTTTCTTCGTATAAAACGAGTTAACCGTAGATTGGGCGTCAGTAGAATATGTGAATTTTGCTTTATAATTACTTTAATCGCATAGAAAAACAAGAGGCCCAAGGGTCTTAACGGCCACCTGAGTAAAATGTAACGATCATCCATAGATTAAAGCAAAATAAGCTGATAAATAAAGTTATGTTGCCCAAAACCAAGAGAAATATGATAATCAGGGATCAGCAAAATATTAATTTAGTACTCAATAAATCTTAAAAGCTGATCTATTTATTTGCCTATACTTTCCCCCATTTGTCACTATCCTCTTGCGAACTAAACAAAGCACTGTCAGTTAACTCATTTCATTTCCCAATGCATTGGCCTTTTTGCTCTTTAAAGATTATTTATTGTATAAATATATGGTATTTTTGTACCATTTTCATTTATCTATTATTTAAAACTTTTCCGACCATTAAAAACTACGAAAGTACTTTCGTATTAAATTTAAAATTTCTTGTATAATACTGTTATTCAATTGTCCTTTTCATTTACATTATTTATAGTGATGAACTATTATTGGGTGAATAGCAAAGGGGAGTAACTTCTTTCAGTTGAATTTAATAAATTGACCAAAGGGTACAGAATTTCAAAATCTGGTAAAAAGACCCCTGCTTATTACAACTTTACATACTCTATTTGCCTCCTAGGAGCAGAGAAGATTTTCAAGGAAATAATCCATTTTCACTATAAATTCAATATAGCCCCACCTTAATACCAAAGCCCCTGACACAGGGGCCAATATAAACACAATTTTGAAAGAGTTGCCCTTGCTCATCATAACTATATACTTAGTTTATCTGCTAAATACCCAGGGACAGAAAAGTAGATTTCAAAGAAATAAAACACTTTCACTATATAATCAATAGAGCCCCACCCTACAATGTAACACCAAAACCCCTGACCCTGGGGCCACAAATTTCACAATTTAGGAAGATAAGCCCTTGCTCATCATAACTATATATTTGTTTTATCTGCTTAAGGAGGCTGGGGGGTCAACAAATTAACCATCAGATATAACTTATTTTTTTAGATATGATATCTTAAGCTGTCAACTATCATTTAGCAAAGAAAAAATTCATACATTTTAGTTTTAAAATTTGATCATTTTTGTATATCTTTATATGGAGCTCTTCTTCTAAAGGAGATCAATATAGTCTAAAAATGGCCACGACCACCCAGCCCTCTTAATACCTACATGTAGGAGCAGAGATGAAGATTTTCAAAGAAATAATGCACTTTCACTATATAATAATCAATAGAGCCCCCCCCCCCCCCTTTCCTGGAGAATTCCACACCCTGAGCCACAAACTTCACAATCTTGTAAGAGGCACCCTTGATCATCATAACCATGCACCTAGTTTATCTTCTTTATATACAGGGGGAGAGAAGATTTTTAAAGAATTTATGCATTTTTACTATGTGATCAATGGAGCCCCGCCCTAACACCAGAACCCCTGAGTTTATTCAGGTGACCTAAAAATCTTCAGGTGCATGATCAATTTTGGTGTGCGTCCTGTGTAAATTACGCAGAAACATGATTTCCCAACGGTTGCAATAAAATTTGAAAGACAAGTTTACAATTTTTTGTTTGAAATGTTATATAGTTGGTTGATTGCATCATAAACACGTGCTAACATCTTTCGAAAACCTCAAATTGGCGATATTTTTGTGAATGGTGGAGTTGGTTAATGTGTGTGTTTCTGGCACTGTGTGTTGCTCAATTTGCTATGGAATATTTTTGTTGTTTCCGTTTGTAGAATTAAAGTTACAGTAGATCGAAGAACAATAACTAATTTTCATAACATACCAAATATGAGACTTTGGAAACGGTAATAATTTCTAGTTTAAAAAAGTAGGAAAATTGCTAAATCTACATTCTTCATTGAATATAAATAAATTAATATTGGACTAAATTTAGAAACTCCTTGAAATGTAGTCAAGTTCTTCACAATGAAGGACTTCTGTTTATGTTTAAAGAAAAACACTTATAAAACATATATATATAAACTTTGAGTAATGTTTTAAAACAAATATTCTGAAAATTTAAAACTTACTTGAATACATTATAAACTTTCTGAAAGGCCGGGTGAACATATCCCCCCATAGACGGCGGTAGATCACTCTCAAACCATCGAGAACTCTGCAACAGTACAAGTACCACGAAGCCAAAGGCAAAGGAACTCAAAGTTTTCGAGTTGAATTTCTCTTTTTGTTTTTCATCCATTACTTTTTCTCATCAAGCCGTTAAAGATCGCATGCCAGCGACTGCATTCTGTTGAAACGAGAAACACGCTTATGATAACAGGCCCGTAGCAACAGTTTCAATAGGGGGCTGCGCCAAAAAATCTGACAAGCAAAAAACAAACAAACAAATAAACAAACAAAAAAAATTGCAATGTGACAAACATCTTTTTATAAATAAATAACTTATGTCTTACACGTACTATTATATTAAAGGGAGCTTCCTGGTCTTTATGGTAACTTCCTTTTAATATATAGTAATAAAAAAATTTCTTCAGTAAGCGTGCAACGAATCTTTCATATGGCATGTGTCAAAAATACTTGTATTGCATTTTTCTATCTTTCCCTGAAAAATTTATAGAAATATTTCATATCAGTTTTGGATTAAAGAATCATCAAATGTTCATGATGATGGTAATAAATTTACCAAAAAGACAAGAGTGTATAACTTACTAAACTGAGCAAAAAAAGTCTTCCTTTTCAGCGGTATGACATTTTAAACATCTCTGTTGTCACTTTAATCACGTGCTCTCTCCACATCTCTGCGATAATTCAATTGTTTCTTGTTCGATTTATTTTTCATTGTTCTCACTTATTTCTATTCCCTTTGACAAGTAACCCCTCCCTTGTGTATATTTATTTATCATTTTAGGAAGTACTTGACGTGGTTTTAGTGTGGTCAAGTTCACAGATTGATCAACAAATTTACCGGGGGGAAAAGCGAAAGAATGAATTGTCCACTTCCTGAAGATGCTTGAATGTTAAATGTCAAGAAAGGTTCACTTCTACATAAATAGGGATCTGACCTATAGGGCCGGGCTTGGTTTTTTTCTCTACAAAAAGCTTGTCGATTTCCGTTCTGATTAATGACATTAGGCTGAATACATGTAACAATTTGTTTTTCATAAATCTTTATTTCAGTGAGTAGAGGTAGGAGGAACACTTTCATTGATATTCTGAGTTTGTTATCTCCAAATGTAATAATTGATATTTTTCTTTACTTCTCATTGTACATAATGGTAATGTCTACTGTCTCTGGAACTCTATTTTTTATGTCTAGGCTATTTATTTTGACAACACATTTCAGTTGGATATACCCGGTAATAAAAACATGCAATTAATGTGTGCAAATCATATGGGCCTAAATGAAATCCAAGGGAGTACAGTTACTGATATATGTAGCCCTACTGTTTCAAAACTTAAGATCTTAAAACATTGACTGAAAACAAAAGTACATGTATGTTATTCTAAAATATTAAGCTCAAATAATTCAAGCAATACGTAACATTCATGTACTACATGTAACCCAGACAAGCACTAGTACCACAGACAGAATAAAAGCAATGTGATTAAATTCTAAGGAATATATACAATTAAAATTCATCGCAGCTCAATGCTGCCGTGAATACCTGTATCGAGTAACACAGAGTGAGTTGTTCTTGTCCTCGGAGAAAGTGTGCTATACTGAGACTTGTTCCGCCTGACTGACAACTGTATATTGGAATGTTACGATTTGATCTCTCTCTAGTGTTTCTTATATCAAAAATGGGAATGCATAAAGGATAGCTAATTGAAGAAACATACACAAGCCTATAAAAAAAAAATTAAAATAGTCTTTGAAAAGGCAAAAATTTAAAACTATGAAAGTGTGGCAACAGGTGGATTCGAACCCCCGACTTTAAAAATAAAGTCCCCACTATATAAAAGTCAGCGCATATATCAAATGAGCTCTTCTGACTACAGGATTGAACGGTATAAATTTGAAGCAGATTGTCAAAATCGAGTTTACTTATTTTTTGTAGGTTTTTTGTGAATTTCGACCCTAGGGCAGGGGTGCCCCTAAAAAAATCCTATCTTAAATTATTCCTTACATCCCAACCTATCAAAATATCACAATTTTTTTTAGGGGCAGGCCTGCCCTGAAGGACTTCTAGGCCAAAATTTATGCAAAAATCAACGCTTTAACGGACAAAATGGTGTTTCGGCCAACTTTGGAGGATTATTGTGAAGTTGTAAATAATAAATTTTAGTTGTAAAATTCAAATTTGAAAAATTTAGACATATATACGGTAGAAAACAACAAATAAAGATTGATTTTTAAATGTCACTTTTTCCGGGAAATTGTTTTCTCCAATTCTTTTGTAATAGTGAATACATCCTTTTTCACGTTTCATCTTTTCCGCCCCAGTGGTTCCGTGTATTTGTTTTTTTTTTTAAAAACTCACCTTTTTTTCAATTATCACCTGTTGAAAAAAAAGGGTGTCTCTGTAGACAAACTTGAATCCTTTTCACTTATGAAAGTGCTGTTGCAAGCTTGGTTGAAATTAGCATGTAGTGGTTGTAGAGAAGAAGTTTAAATTGCAAAGAGTTTACAGACGAATATAAGACGAATGTAGTACAAGGGTCTGGATAACATCCAGAATCCCATAGTTCCACCTTCATCTTCGGTCAACCCAGTAGTCAACGGAGGAGTCTCGGACTGACTAGTAAACCACCAAAAGGAATTGGGTTTACAAGATCTCTAACCAATATTGCTTGCCCGGCCAAAATGGTGGCAGTGCATTTAATATTATACAGCACCGTATACTGTGTTACCCCTTCTACCTGTGTACTATGTACATGCAGCCAATTTAACCAGGCTGGCTATAAGGGTTGGGGTTCTTGTAAACCTTAGTATAGACTAGTGTTATCATCGATCATTTAAGTAGATCAGTCATCAGGAAAAATGTAAACGTTGTTTCCTGTGATGAGTATGTCGTTAGGAAAATAAAAATTTCCTTCTTCAAGATATTTAAGTGTACAGTTTAGGTCATCTGAGTCACCATGGTGACATATTGCTATCCGTTTTTGCTGTCGACGTGCGTTGTTTGTCGGTTTTTAATCTTATTTCCAGCTTCTTCTATGGAACAACTGAACCAATTTCTACCAATTTCGTCATTATATAATAGCCTCTATGTAGAGGTACGTAAAGGAGGACCAAAAAAATTTGCATTTCATAGTCTCAGTCTCCTTTAGGCATAAGAGGTGTGACCAAAACATCAAAACTGCAATCTTCAAAAATAATTTTATTTATCCTTTGACATAAAACGGTTAGCATAATATAATAAGCAATGACTTCTTTACCAAATTTATGATATTCATGGCCTCTGGGATCAGGGTCCAGGGTGGGGCTAAGTTGGTCATATACTGAAAATGCATTATACATGTAATCTGTTAAAACTTACTCCTTTACACATGGACATCTAGTGGACAAACTTTCAAATAACTTTAGAGAGTACTCAATCTTCAACCAAAATTGTGAATTAAATTCATGGCCCCTTCTTCTGTGGTTCAGGCTTATGGGTGGGGCTTATTTGGTCATATATTGAAAATACATGCTATCTTTTAAAATTTTCTCCTCTACTCGTCGGCATTTAGCAGGGAAACAGTTCCACGATTATAATAAGCACGCACTTGGCCGTCTACAGTTACTATAATTTTAAAATTTATAGTCCCCATGCCTAAGGGTAAGAAAAGGTTGAACAATACTGAAAATACATTTGTTGAGATGAGAGTTATACATCTTTAGAACCCGAATAAATCAAGGAAACAACAAACTGAAATTTTAACAAAATAATTAAAAATAATAGAAATGAAATGTCTATCTGCAGACCGTCCTAGGAAGTGTCCTGGAAAGTTTGGTTAACTGATCACAGCACCTCTGCTTAACATTTTCAGAATTTTGATGTTGAATTTCCTCACACGTAATTTTCACAAATGAAAAATTGAATATAAATTCACAAATAACACATAAACCACTGTTTCCTAATCTTTCACAATGCTGTCCGTCAGGGCTGCCGTATCTGACTCTCTCTCACATGTGCTGTTGTAAATGCCTAACCAAGACTCTCCCTCTCGCCCTGGACTGGCTATTGTATCAATGGAATTTAAGTACCCCGCCCAAGACCTGTGTCATTTTAGAAACGGGACGAAAGCCCGAGGAAATAGGACCCTGGGGAAAAATAGTAAAAAAAAAAAAAACAATCATACTAAATGTGTAGATTCTAACTAAATAAACATATTTTACAAATTACATTTTTAATCCCGTAAATACCTGATGTACTTTTTAGCACCCGCCCCGGCTACTTCAGAGCAAGCCACACAGGTCTAATCATGGCTGTAATTTCCCGGGTACTACCCGAACACGAGCTCTCAGGTAGATAAAATTGCTAACCGAGGGGCTCCCCACAGGATATAGACCAATATCTATTACCACACGATAGGGGTATCTTAAGGGCAAATTTAGTTTAATTTGTTACAACATTAAACTGTTAAAAGTCTTCTTTATTCATCAACAACTAGCAGGCAATTTGTTTACATTACATTGCATACTTAACCTTTGATCTCAGTTGTAAAATTCATGAGTCCTTGGTTTTGCGTCAATACCTTAATTAGGCTGGAGCTAAGTTGGTTATACATTTATATTGAAAATCTTAGGCAATGGAAATCACAGGCACTTGGGATTTGGACCCCCCCTTTTTTTTCTCCTTTTTTAATCTGGGGTCGACACACCTTTGTCCTATTTTTGTATTCTAATATGCACTACCTGATATCGATAAGGTAACCCTTTTGTCTCAATAAGCTGTTTTTTTTTAAATATATCGTTTGATACATAAAAAGAACTCTCTTTTTATGTATCCATTTTTATTTCAAAAACCATCGTCCATCATTTTCACACACCGTGACGCAGTGGTTAGAGCGTTTGTTCCAGATTCGCAGAGTAAGGAATTGATCCTTACTTCGGGTTCGAATCCAACTAAGGGACGTGGAGACCGGTCCTTCGGATGAGACAGTATTATAAATCGAAGTCCCGTGTCGCAGTGCTGGCACGAAATTTTAAGATCACTCGCTCAATGGCCCTCAGTTCCGAGTATAGGCCCT